TAGAATGCTGTGTATATAGTGTAGAGTTAAAGGCTGGAAGCCTAGAGCCTGTCTGCAGAAGAGCAGAGAAATTTCAAACTTAATCACTGCCACTCTAGAGATTTCTGGTAGTTTGTCAGAGAAATCAAAGACTTTTGGAATGAGAGCTAACAAAAAGGATGGATGATCTCCTGCATGACCTCAGCACATTTGCCCACAGGATTCTTTCTATATGGAGAAAGAAAAGTTGAGGCTGCTCCACTAAAGTAACAGTTCTCAAAGTAAAGCCTCAGATACCACCATAATCTAGGAACTTGTTAGAAGGGCAAATTCTTTGGCCTAGTACAGTCTTACTGAGTCAGAATCTATGGGATGAGGCCTAGGAATCTGGGTTTTAACAAGCCCTCCAGGTGATCCATTATGTATGCTTAAATTGAACCACTAAAATATTTAAAGACCTCCAAGTGACAGATGAAAAACACACGTAAAATGAAATAAATCTGGCTGGGCTTAGTACCTCCAAGCAAGAAAGAGCACAAATCCTACCCTTCATTCCCACATATATACATTCCTCCATTAGGCTGTCCATAATACAATAAAGCAGCCAGAAATGAACCAAAAAACCCAGTGGGCACCAATTTGGGCTACAGGTTTTTTCAATCAGATGAAGTCCTGGCAGTTGGTAAAGATTCAAGAAACCTATGCCAGAGGCACCATGGATGCCACCAATCATCTAAATACTCTGTAACAGAGAATTGTATAATTATTCATTTATGGCACAGACCTTTTTGAAGTATAATGTTCTGCAGTTTGATCTTTTCACTTAATATACCTTGGATAGCTTTCTATACTTGTGCAAATAAACCTCTAAGTATGTTAATACTATATTATGACTTATATAACCTTTTGCTTATTAATACACATTTTGGTGGTTTTATATTTTTTGCTCTTATAGCAACTCTGTACCAAATATTTTTATTCATTCATTTACTCAAATATTCATGAATATGTATTGATATCCTTCTGCATGGAGGTCTTGCAGGAAGGCTAAGTACATGTATCTGAGTAATGATCTTTGCCTTGTGGAACTTATAATCTATTAGCACAAATACATATAATAAATGAGGAAGTAAATATATGATTATACATTCTGGTAAGTTCTATAAGGTAAATGAAATATGCACTTACCTGAACACCAAACCCAGGGAAAGATTCTTTTGAGAAGTATACCAAAAGGCTGGCTGGTGGGGCATTCTACACATGGAGAACAGCATTTGCTAATACCTAGTTGGGAAAGTACTTGGCGTTTTCTAGTAACAGAAAAGAAATCAGTGTAGCTGATAGGTGATGAATGAGGGGGATATATTATGAAGTGATATTAGAAAGACAGAGAGCAATCATCCAAGATATTGTAAGGAGTTTGCATTGTATTTGAAATGCAGTAGGAAGTCATTGGAGAATTTTAATCACAGAAATAATGTACATATGTCATAAAGACTACTCACTCTGTGAAGAACAAATAATAATATGCAACAAGAGTAAATGTGAGAACAGGAAGGAAACTGTTTCAATAGTCTAGACAAGATGATGATGGCTGATTTGGGCAGATATATTTAAAAGGCAAAGATCTAATATAAATAACAAGAATAATTATGGGGATTGAAGAAGAATGGCCTGAACAACTAAAGCTAGTGGTACTATTTACTGTCATGGGGAAGACTTGGTGTGGGGGATAAGTTTGTAAGGCAAAGATCAAACAGGGTTTACTTAGAACATGCTAAGTTTAAGATGCTTATGAGAGATCCATGTGGAATCTCAAATGTGCACCAGTGTGGAGTGCAAACAAATGTGCAGGCAGAAAAATCTAAATTAGGAGGAATAGCACTTTCAACTTATAAGGGAAAAGAATGAGGGCACAGAGGCAGCAATGCAGAGATTTGGTGTACATTCATCAATTTGGTGTTGCTATTACAAAATGTTTAAAGGTAAAACAAGTAAAGAGGTTTATCCAGCTCATAATTCTAGTGATCAGAGAGTCTAAACAGTGTGACACCAGCATACATGAGGACTCCTTGCCTGCATCAGTGTGACAAAGTGAAAAAAAGACCAGCCCCATTCAGAAAGAGCCACGTATGTGGGATGGCTGTCCTTTATAAACAACCCACTCTGAAAGAACTGGGTGCCTGAAGCAAAAGAATCACAAGTTCAAGCTGAGTCTAGATGACTTAGTGAAAACCTATCTCAAAATAAAAACAAAAAAATAAAGGGCTGGGGATGAAGCTCAGTGTGAAATGTCTGGGTTCACTCCCTAGAACAATATAAATCCAGTCACCTAAGACCTGACCTAGTTCTGAGAGTCAATGTTAATTCACTGATAATGACAGCCTTCCCATCACCTAATTACCTTCCACCAGGTGGCTGAAGGTTCCACCACCTCCACATCACTGCACCAGTGATCAAATTTCTAGGACACAGCCCTTTGGAGAACAAACCATACTCAGACTATAGCAAGGTTTTGTGCATTTTAAGTATTGATAGATATCACTCTCAATATTTGCAGATTGACCTGGAAAAAAATAGTATATTGTTTTCATCCCTGTCAGTTTATTTCAATGCAACAGAAAATAAAATATTAACTGAACACTGGTATTATTAAAACCAATAACTCAAAAGTTTCAAAAGAGAAAAGCTTAATGAAATTTAAGGAGGGAATAAATTTTTTATAATTCCTCTTCTATGAGGTTGTTGCTGCATTTGTGTTGGGTAAGGGATTTCAAGAGTGCATGTGTGTGTTTGTGTGCATGCATGTATGTGTATGTGTGCGTGCATGTGTGTGTATGTGTAAATTAAGGAAGACTTATCTTTCCCCAAGTGAGCTCAAAAACATCATAATTGAACCCAGGGTGTACCATAAGTGGCTTGCAGTTATTACTACTGATTTTTCATAGTGTCTTTCCACTGTGCAAGTCTCTGTCAGGAAAATAGAGTGGTTTGGCTAGAGATGACTTGCATTTGCTATAAAGGAAATGGAGCCATCAGATTTATATGACTTTCTCTCTTAAAAATATATGGCCTCGCTTTTTCACTTGCAGTAACTGAAAAGCCTATTTGGGGATGTGGCTTCCCAATCACTCGGCTCCCTGTGTTCTAATGAATGCACAGGACATCTCTCAGGAGGGCTGCCTTCCGGCTGACACATCAGATGGGAAACTCAGTACGGTTTGGTCCTAAAATTCATTCTGGGTGTCCATGTTTCCATAGTTCTTTGTTTTCACTTACCAGTCAAAGGTTATTATAACTAATTGGGTGTCTGTTCTGCACTGGCTCCCATGGTTTGATCTGTACACACCTTGTTCACTAATGAAATCACCATGTGGCCTAGGGAATGAGTGTTGATCAAAGTATAAGCTATCTCTTGCTCTCCAACTCTTTTCTGGAATTCTAGCTCTGCCTCCGGAAATGTCCTCTCAAACTTGCGTCATGTGAAGTGTTTTTGATAAACTTGCATGACTCAGAAAATGTAAGCATCATGTGCTTTTTTGATAAACCAACATGACTCAGAGAATGTAAGCATCTTGAATTATAAAGCTCAATTTTCAGAATTTAACTGTGTTTGAATCTAAGCCAGTCAAATGAACTGAGAGCTGGCTAGGAAAAGGCAAACACTGAAGAAAGAAGAGGAATGGCTCTGGGCCAAGTTGGGGTGCCTGCAGGGAGGCTACCAGGGATGAGGGACCTCAACTGTTGTCTCTTTCATCCTCATTGTGGATTTAAAAGACAGATGTTAAAACCATCTTAATAAGAACAAAGGCGATATGAAATTTAGAGGCATTCTCCAAGGCATAGAAAATGTGAGGGGAAAGTAATAGAATTCTTTTTTAAAAAAACATGCTTTTTAAAAACTACCACTACTGTAATAGAAGATTCAGAAATCACACAACCATGCCCAATATCCATCTGTCCCACCTCGAAGAGCCTTGAATATAGTTAATTTTGTTATCCAAGTACATTAATAAGTTCCATGGCTGCAGATACCCTTCCTAGGATTCACCATAGGACTCAGAGGTCCAGATTTTAAATAGGCTTGACACCAGAAGTGGCCATGTGACAGGTGATAGATGTAGGTATCCAATAATTATTTGCTGATATAAATATTTATCAATATTGAATTTCTAATGAGATAAATATTTATCAAAGCCTGTGTAACACTGTGCTGATTTCTGGGAATAAGCTCTGAAGGAAACAGACATGACCTCTTGCTCTCAGGGATCTCAGAGTTGGACTATGACAGAGACAAACAATAATAAGTAACCAAATACAAGAAAATGACTAAACACAGTGAGAAATGCAATAGGGATTGAGATTCTAGGAAATGAGTATCTTAGCTAAAGTGGTAAAGATAGATCTCTGAGGAAGAGGATTGAAGCAGATACTTGAATGAAAAAATGAGGTGTCCCTAAGAGAAGCCAGAGGGAGCATTATCTTGTACAGGGATCTTAAAAGAAAGTACAAAGAAGTCACAGAACACAGAGGAGAGTAAAAGGGTGATCTGGAGTCGGATGGCTAAGTAGGAGCCAGAACATACGGAGTTTGCTATTTAGTCTAAGAGCAGAAAGATAGTCAGTGAAGGGATTTAACAGGGAGCTGCTGTGAAGAGATTAAGTTTTAGGAGGAAGACTCTAGTACTCTGCAGAAAACAGATCATATAGACTTGTAAATTGTAGCAAACAGGGCAGAAGGGGCCAGATGTAAAGGAGATGGATATAAAAAGATAAATGGCATGTGGAAGGACTGAATGAGAAGCAGTGGGGATAAAAGGAGAACAAAAAGATCTTTTTCTACAATCCATTTCCTTTTATGCAAACCCCAGAATATTTTTATCCTTGATTACATCAGCACTATACAAATCCCAGTGTGGGTTCAGGCTCCCAAGGGAAAAATAAAATTTGCATCCCTAAGCAAGGTGGACTGGCTAAAAATCTTTGCAAGGGCTTTGAATTTATATTAGCACAGTCAGACCCAGAATGTTATGTCCCAAAAATTTATACCAGCTTCATTCTCCTCAACCTTAATGCATCCTTATCATAATCTACTCATGAACACGCAGAACCAATCCCTTTTCACCACTGTATTTTATGATTAAATGTTCTCTCCTGGTCTTTACCTTGAAATTATTCCTGTCTGAAACTCCCTCCTGCACTTCTTCCAGTTAGTGTCATCTATAAACTTGATGATGATGATGGCTGCATTTTAGCCCCCAGGCTAAAACAATGTTTTCTGCATTTGTCTTTGAAGTTGTAGATGCTGTATGAGAGCACACACTGAAACATAAACCAAAGAAATGTGATTTTGGAATAAGACTAGGACCTGTGACTAGTAGTAAACTTTATATCATGGAACTTTAATATAGAAGTTGGTATCATAATCAAAATAAACCTACACTAAAGTTGTTCTGATACATGTATGACTGCTATTATGCTGAGAAAAATGACATTTGTGTAAATGACACATGCTTATTTCTATTTCACAGCCACATCGAAGCTACAGTTTTCTCTGTAGTTATGCAAACGTCAGTTTACAGAAAAAAAGAAAATATTCTGTCTAGACCTCCTAACCATATAGCCATAAGGCTGAGACTTCTGTTACTATATCCATTCTTCTATATATTTCCCCACATTCAGGTCCTTAGGTAGAAAATACTGCTGTTTTCCACATTAACCATCCTAAAAGACTAGAAATAGAAGGAACGCTAGCTTCTGAGACTGTGGACTTTTTGTCAGAGGAATGATGATGGTAGCTATATCCCTGTTCTATGGGACACCAAGGATGTCTGTAATATTGGTGAATTCATTTTAGCTAATTCATTCTCAGACATCTCTTCATGTAAGTTTGTCCTGTTCTTACAGAACTGTCTAATATACCAGGCAAATAGTTATTAAGTCAAAAATTTAAGCTGAAATAATATTCATAATTGGTATTAAATACTACTTTCTTCATGCTGCCAAATTTCTGAAATCTTTTTGTATGTAAAATATGGAGGTGTCTTTTTTCCACCAGTCTCATCCTTCTGAATTCATATGCCCCAACCTACCCCACACCCATGTTTTGCTTCCTGTTCCTGTGAGATCAGGAGGTCACACAGATGTATAGATGTCAGTCATACCACAGCCCATGAGTCTGCTTTGCTTCCCTTGGAATTTGTGGGTCTCACTCATCCTCCAATTTCCCGTGATTACCAACCTCTAACTTCTCTCCTCCTGGACATTTTCCTTTAATGGTCAAAAGACAACTCTGGATCTCTCTTCTGCCTACCTTCCCAACAAGTAGTCCATAAATCGCTTCTCTTCCATTTGATGATTGATACCTATGAAATATGTAACAAGAAGGGATATTGTAATGTCATCAAGTTAAGAAAATTGAGAACTAGAAAGGCCATAAAAATGCCAAACATCTACTTCAAAACAATGTCACTAAAGTTACTAAAATATAAGGCTTTCTTTCTTCTTTCAGTCTCTCAATTGGTCATGCTATTTATATGCTATTCAATGTTGTTCTGAGCAGAGAAAAATTAAGATTTTTAAATAAATAACATTAATTTTACAATTCTTTTTGGAAACTGCATAGAAGAGTCAAATTCTAGTACAAGAGCATTTCAACCGTATACAGAATTATTAAGATTATATCGCTTGTATTTCATAGCTTGTACACACATGTATTTTGTTTTTACTAGAACACTGGAAACACTGCACTAATTCAACTGATTTTATTTTACTTTTTTATATGTGCACATTTTACCAAAACTCTATTATTAGATTATCGTAAGTTAAAAAGAAATGTGTTGCTTTAGCTTTCCTTTTTCCATATCTTTTTCAGCAAAAGGAACTGACTAGTAAAGAGGAATAATGCAAATAAGAAAGGATACGATAGAGTTCTTGGGTCATCTGAGTTTCTAAAAATGTCATTGACTTTTGTCCTACGTTCTTAAAAAGTTCCAATGTCAACAGAAAGTATGGCCTCATGGAGTGGTCAGTTCTTTCATTCCTACTTACACACATTACTTTGCCCTCTCTAGAATTTCACTGAATTCCTATGTACGGTGATTTCACCAGAAGTCTGGGCTCAGGGCACACAGCAAGCACTGTATATTAACTGGGTGGCGAAGAACTTCAGAAGCACACATAGTGTGCACATTTCTTCTACTTATGTGCAAGTTGTCCCATTGAATTTGACTTACAAAACACAAGTTTAATAATGACATCATTAAGAATTCTGCATTGACAATAGCAAAACGTGAAGCCAAGTGCAGGGCTGTTTAGAGCGCAAGGCCTCTCTGCATATGAATCCCCGTGAAACTGTAAGCTGCATGCCTTGTTGCTGGCCCTGGGACTGAAAAAGGGTTACATTATTAGGTAATTGGGAGAAAGAAAGCAAGTGGAACAGAAACCTTTAACTCTAGCAAATGAAATAGCTTTATGAAAGGATCCTAACCTGTTTGATTTTCTGGTCTGAATTCTGTCAATATCATCTGAAACATTTGTTTATATCTTTAGATAAGGAGGAAGAGAAGACAGGAAGAGATGCCACTTTTATATTATAGTTGATAAGGAAATGTGTTGGGTATAGAAGCAAGAGACGTAGTGGGCCTATACTAGATAGGTTTTAATTCCTAATTATACAGAAATTTTTTCAATAATCTACTTGTATTTTTGAAATAACTACTACCTTGTAAAACTGCAAAATAGTGTTAAGAAAAAAACCAGGATAAAATTTTCTATCCAGCTTATTTTATATGGAAAGTTTGTGTACTATGAGATAGATGTCATTATGCTTTCACAAATGTCAGAATTATCACTTTATATAAAAAGATTTATAATAATGTCTTTATTTGGTATTCAGCTACTTCCCAGCCTACAGTTTTGTGAAATTGAACTCTCTTTTGTACTTGGAAAATTTTGTACATTTAAAAAAGTCTATACTCTATTTCATACTCAGAAAATCTTCTGTGTGGGGTTTTGTTTGTTTGTTTGTTTTTCTTTTCTTTTTGTTTCTTTGTACCAGGGATTGAACTCAGGACCTCCTGTTTGCCAAGCAGGCACTTACACCACTGAGCCCCCAGCCCTTTAGGTATATATTTTGTTTCTAGTGTATTTTTGTTGGAAATGATTCAGTTTGTAAGAATAGGTTTTCTATATAATTCCAGTCCTCCTCTTCACTTGGAGTCAACAAAAGTGATCACTATACTGATAATTATTTACAAGGCAAAGGATAAGAAAAAGGTTCTGCCTTTTCTCTCCACTGCCTCTCTCTCCTCCTTTTGACTCACATAATAGAGGAAGCCTTTATTCCATAAGAGCTATTTTCTCTTACTCTGCAACTGTTCTTCACATACATCATGTACATCTTTATTCTTATAACAAAATACACATCAACTTCCATTTCTGGAGATAAAGGAAAACAAAAATATTGTCTCCTTATCTTCATTCTTTATTTTCTCTTTTGTATTTGTATGCTTTGGAGTGCAGTGATGCACATTGGAGATTGAAAAGTTAACTATTTTTAAGTCACACGAAAATTGATATCAATAAATATTCAAAGAATCATTAGATAGAAACTTTTTGTTTAAATGATGGATCTTACACCTTGAATCTTGTGTGAGGCCTGGAGCCTTAGAACAGAGACGAATCCAGACAACTTCAGAGATCCCTTCAAAAGCACAAAAAAATGCTGCATTTTAAAAATGAAATATGAAATAATTGGGGACTCCCATGAAAATCCAGGATTTTAAAAAGATTTTTCCAATATTGAATATTGAATCAGGTCCTCATACTAAGCTACATCCCCAACCTATTTCTTATTTTGAGATAGTCCCTCTTTAAGTTACTATATTGCTCAAGCTGAGCTCAAACTTGCAATCCTCCTACCTCAGCCTCCCAGAGTGTTGTGGTTATTGGCATGCAGCACTATGCTCTATGAAAATCCAGTTTATAAATTTCCTTGTAAATGGCCCCAGTGCTGTAAGTTGTGCCCATACTGTTCAGGAGAAAGGACAGATAGAGAAACGTTCCTAGTTATAACAACAAGGACTTATTTTTCTCAGAAAATATACTGAATTTATAAATGCTTCTTCTATATTCATAAAAAGTAAAGAGAGATGTCTCCTCTTTTTTAACCTCAGTTGAGTTCTGGGCATATTTGCCCAGCAGAAAGTGGACTGATAGACAGCATTATTTGGTCATGCTTTCTCACCAGCTACGCATTGTAGCCATTTTAGGTGCAGCCATGCATACCAGATTGAATTAAATGGTTTTTATAAAGATCTCCAAAGCAGGGAAACATCTTTTCCTGACTGATATTTTTTTCACATATTTGTTAATGAGTGTCTGCACAATAAAAATGTGGTCTGTAGCTTGTTTTCCAAAAAGGAATTCAATTTGGTTCTTGAGAATGCTGTTCCCGCTCAAATATAGTTTAATTCTTTAATTTAAGCAACTGCAAAATAGCTTGTGGACAATGCAGTGTTCCACAGGCTTTCCAGGAGCTGTCTGGGTAGAGACCACCTTCACTCATGTGCTCTGAATCCCTTGAGGTTGTCAGAGTGCCTGTCAGAAAATGTCCTCTGGTTGACCTCGAGGCTAGCCTGTTAATGCTATGGCTGAGTCTGCAGCTGATTTTATGGACTCACTTCCACTCTCTGAATTCATAAAGATGCTAGCATGATACCATCCTAGACAATGGAGTCAGCCAACTTTTCTCCAGAGATTTTACCATAAAATCTCAGCTCAGCTTCTGTAGCCTGCTCAGAAGACAGTATGTGATTATAAAATCTCTTCCCTAAGCACCTTTAATGTACTTTAATTTTTCTATACAAGTACTTTTGATATAGAAAATTTTAAGTAGTAAAAGAGAGAAAAAAAGTGCTTGGGAAGAGACAGGACTTAAGATACAAGTTGGATATGAGGACTTGTCCTCCTCTGTCCCCCAACACCCAAGGGACTAGCCAATCAAGAAAGGAAACGTAGAACTGGAGTTTGCTCCAAAACTACTTACAGGCCTAAAAACCCTACTGGGTATTGGAAAACCAATCAAACCATGAACTTATGTTTCAGGTCCCTCCTCACACTGTGAAGCTTTGGACAATGACCTTCACGCTTAAGGCTCATTGAGGACATATATTACAGACTTGTGACAATGGCCTAGCACAGGAAGGCTTCTCTGGAAAAGTGGCCCTTGAGCTAATATCTGTATTGAGACAACAAAGTGTGGGTGCATGCCCATCATACATATTGGTGGGGTGTAAGAATGCAATTAGAGACCCTGTCAGTGGTTCAATAGTGGGAGGGAGTAAAAATTAATGTGAGAGGGGAGGGTGCCAATTTGTACTAAAACCGATGGTCTTCTCTCTCCAGCCTACAAGTAGTGGGAAACCATTTTCAATTTTTAGTAAAACAATGGTTGGAAGAAATTTCTCTCTAGAAAAGAAAGCAGAGAAAGTTTTAGTTTTTAGAATTTCTAGAGTTGCTTCAGTCATAGGAAGACTTTCTGAATCTGGTTTGCAGTGCATTCTCTGTAAATGAAGTTGGAACAGCATTGTTTTCTGTACATATTAGCTCTGGCATTCTGCTACTTCTGGTGCACTTTCAACAGGGACCCCTCTCTATTTCCTTGGCTCTCTAAGGCCAGATATCTAGATAAATAATGTCCACTAGTGTAGCATCTGTGCCCATATAGAGTAGTCTAGATTTTGGGAACTTTAGAAGTCACACAAGAGGCTCCACAAAGGGAAAATATTTCTGAGGCCAATATCAAGGCCTGTCAGTGGTGAGGAACATTGTGATCTCTGAATCTTGAAAATTGACCAATTTATTCTAATTCAACCTTAGAAACCCTCCATCAGCTTCACATGAATCTTAATTTGTTATCTACTCAAAGAACATTTATTGAATATAATTAATCAACAATATTGGACAATTATTGAATATTTACAGTGCTGGGATGGAAGAAAAAGTGTCATCTCAAGGAGCTTCCTTCAAGGCATCTTTAACCTTCCCAACACATGCACACACACACACACACACACACACACACACACACACACCCTTGGTATTTTTCCAGGGTAACCTAAACATATGCATAAGTGTATATATGGTATTCTCATGGAGTATTTTCATGGAGCTAAAAAATTCTTCAAAGAACAAGCAACATTTATTAGGCACTTTAATGTATCAGGCACTATGATAGATATTTCCAGATATATTATCCCATTAAATCCCTAAGAGAACACTGAGGTTTAGAGGCTGTATTTGAATATATACTTTTCAATTTTAATTGCTGCTTTTTTTCTATGAAACCTTCCCTGAATTCCCT